ATGGAACCGAATCTGAAACCGTAAAATAACTCTGATTCCTAGTCACCTGTCTCTGATTGGATTCTTTAATTTAGTGACTCTCAGAGCATTTATACCCGGGAAAGATCGAAACTTGGGGTTTCTTTCTCCAGGGGAAATGAGTTCATCTGTGCTGTACAGTTCAATTCATACCTCAAGTGTATTGTTTTCAAGAACCCAGTTTCCTTTTTTGGTGCATAGAGAATTTGCAGCAGAGTTTTGTCCTTCTTTGCACGGTGGGTGCTGTTTAAGAACCCAAGAAAATGGGCATGCAAAGTGGGTGGCGAGAGTGAAGGCTACACTAGCTGCCGAGCCGGCAAAGGTGGCGACTTCTGGTGTGGCTGATGGGGATTCCAAAGCATCAAAGAGGAAGCTGAAGATATTGGTGGCCGACGGTGGGATTGGAGGTCAGGTTTTCGCGTTGGCGGCGAAGAAGATGGGGTTTGAGGTGGTGGTAAATGAACAAATGAAATGACAAAATTGACCTTGGTAAATCGAAGGTCTAACCGGAGAGTAGCCGAAAAACGGACGGAGGGACTAAAATGACTAAAAACAATTATTTTCGGGGACTAAATCGATGATTAAGGAATTAGAGGACAACATTCACAGTTTGGCAATAATTGAGGGACCAAATCGTTGATTAACTCTTTTTAAAATTAATACACTAGTAAAATATATGATTACATGTCAATGACCTGTTAATATAATCTAATTATTAAGAAGGAGCCTTATTGACTAAGATTCCGTGAAAATTGAATTGACTAAGACTATTGAAGTAATATATGAAGCAAGAGCAAAATGATTGATAATATGAACCTGACTCACCATAGGTGAAATCTTTACCTCTAAACCTAACTTGCATATAACGAATGACAGAGTAGCTGAAGAAAAGTGTCGAGTCAGACATAGAGGATGGCAAATTAACACAATACATACATCACACAAGCATATTGCATAATTTTTCAATCATGGTAAGAGTACATACATAAATTACTCAAACCCAGAACCAAAAAGACCCAAAATTTGAAGTGTTTCACAGTTATTTGATTTTTTCAAGAAATTTATGAAGTAAATCCATAATATTAATAGTGGATGTAAGGGATTTCAATGATTACTTGAAACAAATACTAACAATAGAGAGCTAAGGATGAAGGTTAATGGTGTGATACTTAGCTCAATAAGTGAGCAAAACTCTGGTAGAAGGAATTGAGCTATGGAAGTATGGACTCATGGAGTCTTCAGAGTAGTGTTGAAGTGAGTAGTAATGAAGCATCGAGAGATGTAGTGAGGATGCGATAGATGAGTAGGCGATAGATGAAGATGGATAAGATGGAATGATACTTGTTCCTATTCCCGATATATAGACCCATGACATGAACCAAACACATGCTAAGTGATGACATTATATAAATGTAACCATCCAGATTCAATCAAATATATACAAGCATAGAGAAATATAACCTTGGTAAACATATTAGCAAAACTTAAAATATTTTTTACTATGGGTACTTTTTGAAGAATTATGCAGTCATGTACAACGTATTATGGTAATCTTTTATTTTATTTTGAATTAATTTGAATCTAAATCTTTTCATTAAAAAAAATACTATTTTCAATTATATTTTACTATATCAAGCCAATTAACCAAATACAAAAACTTATTTCAATCTAGCATAGTGTCTCCCATTTTATCTTATATATATTTATAGATAGAGAGGGAAGGGTTTAGGGGCGGTATAGCTTCCCGTGCAGTTGACGCACCTTAATTACACAAACCATGCACCTTAAGCACACAAACAAAGCACCTTAAGAACACAAATCACGCGCACCTAAAGCTTTAGGCCGACACACCTTATGTACACAAATCACGCACCTTAAGTACACAAACTACGCACAGGGTTGGCCACTGAGGGGTTGGGTAGTATATTTTTTTTACAGTGTGAGTGATGTGTGCAGTCATTGTTCATCAATATATAGCGAAGCATATATTCAGTCACGCATATACTGTAGCATGACGGTTGTCACTCTAGTCCATTGTGAGATTGTGTTAAACTAATTAGAACGTGAGTGCAACAATGTAATAAAGTATGCGATACTGATTGAAGTATCTCTGGGTGAGTGTTAAGGGTAACATTGTTGTACAATACAGAGACGTCATGTGTAGAGATTAATGAATGATTAGCGGTGTATTAATTAAGGTAACACTGTTCCACGCACCGCACAACGCACGTTGCGCGAATGCGTGGATCGCGAAATAAATCGGACAACGCACGTTGTCTGGTGCATTGTGGAACGCGTTGCTGCCTCCTTGCGGAATTAATGAACGAGAATGCTATTTAAGACATTTTTAGATTTATTTCTAGAAGAGAGTTAGAGAGATTTTTATATTTTCAGATTTTAGAGAGTAGTTTAGAGAGAGAAACACTAAAAACACTCTGAGATTGTAGATTGTTCTCTAGTTTCTTGTGAAGATTGTTATAGAATATTAGGAGAATATTCTCTGTGATTGAGTATCCCATATTTTAGGGAACTGAATATTTGTTTACCATATCAGTTCAAACTCTTCTTATATTTAAGGAGTAATTGACTAGCTCTATAGACACACAGAATGAGAGAGAGAACTACACAGAGGTACTTCTCACTGCTTTAACATGGTAACAGAGCCAGGGCGATAAAATTTTTTTTCCGGCGTCTCCTGTTCTCACCGCCGGTCCACCGCCCCTCGCCATCGTCCGACGACCTCGACTGGAATTTTTCAAGCCAAGCCGACCTGCGCGTGAGGCTCACGCGCCACCAACAGCTGCCGCCGCCGCCGCCACGCGCCGGCGCGTGAGGGCTCTCCGGCGACCAGAAATTTTTCCGGCCGGTCTTCCCAGGGTCGCCTGAGTTCGGGGATCTCGGTTCCGGGCTCAGTTTGGACCAGTTTTGCGTCGGTCTTTTCGATTCTACGGTCAGGTTGTTTCGTTACCCTTCGGCTCCGTTGTTTTGTGTGTTTTCTGCTCTGTTTGCGGTCCTAATTTTGTGGGTATGGCTGGGAATATGTCTGTGGTTGTCACTGATATAGTTCCTGTTAATTCTAAAATCACGGATTGTAAGCTTAATGACTCTAATTACTTGGAATGGATTCATGTCATTAAGCTTTATCTTACTAGTTTGGATAAAAGTGACCACTTGTCTAAACCTTTGGCTGACCAAGATTCTACTTGGGTACGGGATGATGCCCGTTTGTTCCTACAAATTCGTAATTCCATTGATGAGGGTATTGTTGGGTTCATTAGTCATTGTGCCTCTGTTAAAGAGTTGATGGAGTATTTGGAATACTTATACGCTGGGAAAGGGAATATTACTCGTGTTTATGATGCTTGTAAGTCATTTTTCCGTGCTGAAAAACATGATTTGTCTCTCCCTACATACTTTATGGAATTTAAGAAGACTTATGAGGCACTTAATCAGCTTATGCCATTCACTGCTGACATTAAAGAGCAGCAAAACCAACGTGAACAATTGGCTGTTCTGAGTTTTTTGGCAGGTCTCCCCTCTGAGTTTGACACGGCGAGGTCTGCAATTCTTAGTAGCTCTGCCATCCCTTCTCTTGCTAATGTTTTTCCACGTCTGAGTCGGTCGGTGCAATCGCAACCAAGTGTGCCTGATGCTACCATCCCATCCAACAATGCTCTCGTTGGCCGTCATCCTCGCAGTGGGAATGGAAAAAATTCTCAGGGATACACTTCTGGTGGTATTGTGTGTCACTATTGCCATAAGCCTGGCCACATAAAACGGGACTGTAGGAGGTGGTTGAGGGAGCGAGGAAATCCGACTGCTAATGCTGCATCCACACCTGAGGCATCTTCCAAGTTGATCACTGTATCTGCCGACGAGTTTGCCAAGTTCTCTCAGTATCAAGAATCTTTAAAGCGTTCATCCTCTTCAGTCACTGCTATTGCTGACTCAGGTAATGCAACTACGTGTCTTCTCTCATCCTCCTCCAAGTGGGTTATAGACTCGGGTGCCACGGATCATATGACAGGTAACTCTAGTTTGTTTTCCACGCTTTCTTCTCGCCCACATAGTTCCCCTGTCACCTTAGCAGATGGTTCTGCCTCCCATGTTCTTGGGTCCGGTACCATTACGCCCATCCCTTCGCTCCCCTTGTTGTTCATAAGGGGGAGGAGGAAGATATATTGATGTATACGATCACGGCGTCTGTTCCTACCCCTCCTGTCTTACATGTGTATTCTCGTCGACCTCAGCCTGACACACTCATACCGGCACCGCCTCCCGCTCCCCTTCCAGATTCGGCTCCATGCCCTGACACCACCTCTGTGTCATCTAATCCAGTCTTGGTTGATGAACGTCCGATTGCTACCCGGAAAGGTAAACGTAGTTGTACTTATCCTATATCCTCTGTTGCATCATATGATAGGCTGTCACCTGTCTCGTGTTCTTTCATTGCTTCCCTTGATTCTATATCCATTCCTAAGACTGTTAGGGACGCCTTGTCCCATCCTGGGTGGCAAAATGCCATGCTTGAAGAGATGAACGCTTTGGATCACAACGGTACTTGGGAGTTGGTCACTATGCCTGCAGGTAAAAGACCTATTGGTTGTAAATGGGTGTTTACTGTCAAAGTCAATTCTGATGGGTCTGTGGCTCGATTGAAAGCCCGTCTTGTGGCTAAAGGATATGCCCAAACTTATGGATTTGATTATTCTGACACCTTTTCACCTATGACTAAGCTTACTTCTGTTAGGTTACTCATCTCAATGGCTGCCATTCATGATTGGCCTTTGCATCAGCTTGATATCAAGAACGCATTTTTGCATGGGGATCTTCATGAAGAGGTGTACATGGAGCAACCTCCTGGGTTTGTTGCTTAGGGGGAGTCTGGGAAAGTATGTCGTCTTCGGCGATCGTTGTATGGACTGAAATAAAGTCCACGTGCATGGTTTGGCAAGTTTAGTCAGGTTGTTGAGAATTTTGGGATGGTGAAAGGCAAATCGGATCATTCCATGTTCTACAAGTGGTCAAAAACAGGTATCATCTGGTTGGTGGTTTATGTAGATGACATTGTCATTACAGGGAACGACACCGAAGGGATTTTGTCTCTCAAGTCATTTCTTCATAGTCAATTCCAAACAAAAGATTTGGGACCACTGAAGTATTTCCTGGGTATCGAAGTTATGAAGAGCAAAACAGGTATATTACTATCTCAACGAAAATATGTTATTGACTTAATCTCTGAAACAGGAAAACTAGGGACTAAACCCTGCAATACTCCCATGATACCGAACTTGCAATTAACAAAGGAGGGGGAATTGTTTGAAGATCCTGAGAGGTATAGGAGATTGGTTGGGAAGCTAAATTACTTGACCGTAACCCGTCCAGATATTGCATACCCGGTTAGCGTTTTGAGTCAGTACATGTCATCTCCAACTATTGATCACTGGGCAGCTGTGGAGCACATCTTGAGTTACTTAAAGGAAGCCCCGGGACATGGAATCTTGTATAAGAATCATGGTCACACTCGAATTGAGTGTTTTACTGATGCAGATTGGGCAGGCTCCAAAGGATCGTAGATCAACAACTGGATATTGTGTTTTCTTTGGAGGTAATCTGGTTTCCTGGAAGAGTAAGAAGCAGAGTGTAGTATCTCGTTCGAGTGCAGAGTCTGAATATAGAGCGATGGCACAATCAACAAGTGAAGTGATGTGGATACACAACCTTTTGTATGAGTCTGGTTTCAAAGCTCCAATTCCTGCAAAGCTATGGTGTGATAACCAATCTGCTCTTCATATTGCATCAAACCCAGTGTTCCATGAACAAACTATGCACATAGAAATTGACTGTCACTTTGTACGTGAGAAGATACAACAAGGGTTAATCTCCACATGATTTGTGAAGACAGGAGAACAACTTGGGGACTTATTCACGAAGGCCCTTACTGGAACCCGAGTTAGTTATTTGTGTAACAAGTTGGGCATGATCAATATCTTTGCTCCAACTTGAGGGGGAGTGTTATAGAATATTAGGAGAATATTCTCTGTGATTGAGTATCCCATATTTTAGGGAACTGAATATTTGTTTACCATATCAGTTCAGACTCTTCTTATATTTAAGGAGTAGTTGACTAGCTCTATAGACACATAGAATGAGAGAGAGAACTACACAGAGGTACTTCTCACTGCTTTAACATCAATTGAAGAAGGAGATTGACAACCTCCTAATCAAGAGATCCTAGCAAAGCTTCATCAAATTGTAGTCTACATTGGTATATTTCTATTTTCTACATTTCAATTGCTTAATTAGGTTTTGATTCTATGTTTTCAATGTTGATTTTGATGACTTTGCTTGGCTAGATTAGTTAGCTATTGAATTGTGAAGTGATTGATTATGATGTCTATGTGACTTAATTCTTGAATTGGGGATTGAATACTTGCTATGCTTGTAAGTATTATTGTTAGGGTTTGATTTGTAAGCATCCTATGGAGCTAGGCCACTTCCTAGGGTTGTGCTAAGCAAGTGATCTAGGCAAGAGATTGCTCGATCACTTGAAGCTTCTATCCTTGACATTTTCTAGCCTCATAACTGATAAGTGTTAAAATGTGCTACTTTCATGAGGTATTTAGGAGTAATATTTTGCTTAATTAAAGTCCTTTAGGCCTTTTATGTGCTTAGAATACCTTAATTTGACTAAAGTTAGGCATAAGGACTAGTTTTGGTTACATTTGTTGTAAATAGCAAAATATTGACAATTTTAGCTCATTTCAGCGACAGTTCGGAAGAAAAATCATATCTAGAGCTAGGGATGTCCAAACTAGGTTATTCAAGTGGCATTGGATCAGTATTTCAAAGAGCTACAACGTTCATGAAGACCACGAAGGCCAATTTGGACATTTAGGTAGTCAAAATCAGCAAAAACCGTGTCAGAATTTCCAGTCACGGTGTGATGCCTCAGTAAATGGTAAATAATAGTCTGTTTGGCGAGTTTTTATGCTGAAATTTCATATCTAGATCCATCATTCTTCATTCTTCCTCTTTCAATAATTCTCTCTCTAGAATTTTAGATTAGATTAGGGTAGTTTTCTCTCCCTCTTCTCTCTAGATTTTAGCCTAGATCTCTATCAACTTTGTAAAGAGAAGTGAAGATCCAAGCTCTCCCTTGCAAGATCTTCACCTCTAATCCATTGGATTGACAATTTACCTTTGCAATCTTGGGTAAACTCTTGATCTATTTTATTTCTCTATTTTGATGATATTTATCTTGCATATGTGTAGATTGTTGATCTTGAGCATGAGTGGCTAAATTCTAGAGATTAGGATTGTTGTGTATATTGGATTTGTGATGATTAACTTGATTTGATTTGTGCTATTGTGGTGATTGAATGTTGTTGGCTTGAATGTCTTGTTGGAAGATGGATGTTTATAATGACTCCTGTGTGTGATTGCAACACATGCTTATAGGTTTAGGAATGATTATATTGTCAAGAGATTGATACATAATCCTAACCACCTTCCCCTTGCATTTGCCGCCCTAAATCCGATAGGATGGTGGCCCGGAAAGGGATGTAGGCAAGGTGTTTGCTTATTTGTCTCGTAGAAGAAATGAGCACCTAGGTGTCATATCTATTTACGGGAGGCATATAGACGGAAATGGCTACTGACTAGCAAGCGATTCCTCTTGACTTGTGTCACAACATGCAATTAACACCCAACCTTTGGAGTAGCTAATCACACATTGCAATTAACACACACAATCTTAATCCACTTTTCTTTCTCTCCGATAATGCAACTCCGGTCCACACACTTTCCTAGCTTCCTTATGCACTTGTGTGCTTGTGTTTGACAACGCAATACCCAATTCCAAATTGTCCATCCTTAGAGAACGACACTCGGGGATTTCACATCTCCGTTTACACTATTCCACCACCTCACCGCTAAATTACATCTCGTCAATAACCCAATAAGGTTAGGTTGGAAACGTAGTGTAGGCAAGGTGTTCGATGAATGGTCTAGGAGACTCCAAGAGCCCGACGTGGGGAATTCTAGTGTTTCTTAGGAAAATCTGAGCAATTGAAAGACGAAATGAGTATAGCTCTCTCCCTAGACTAAGCATATGCAATGTTTTCTTCCCATGTCAAATGATCCTAGGTGAATTATAATCATCACTAGCAATTCAACCCCTACTTTCTTTACTTGTTATTTCATTTCTTGTCGTTTGTTGCTTGAAACCTACATGATTTTACAAAACAATGCGTGACATCTCCTCAATCGTATACAAACTTCCTTCTTATTATTGACAACGCGAAGCTTCTCCAGTTTTTCATCCGTTGAGAACGAGAAAATCCGGGAGTCATCCCAAAAATCTTTTTGACGTAAAATGTGTGCAAAAACAAGCTTGTTAGAAATCAAGATCAAACAACAACCTCACGATTCCCTAGGTAACAACTAATACCACTGCGAGAATGCAAATGAATTCTATAACCTGGAGTGTGCAAAATGCTAAAATTAATTGTTGCTGCCCAGAAGAGAACTTGTGCCGAATGGAAACTGCACGCCAATCGAATTTCTCACTCCGTTGATCACTTATGGAATTGGTCCAAACCAGAGTTGTTGTCACCGGAACCTGCTGAGCCGTAACACTCATTCTCTTTTATTTTCTCAGCAATTAGTTAAATTTGGGTGTAAGAATTGATGAAGCGATGATGTGTGATTAGTGATGAAGACCGATTTTGGTGTCCGGAGTTAATTTGGTGAGATTAGTGATGAAGATTGATTCCCAATTGATCAAATTGACCTCCCTTTTTATACTTCCTAGCTTCAACAGCTTCGTCCTAAGTCTGCGGTTGTTGAATGGGATCTGATGCCACACCTTCCCCTCCTCAAAGTTCACTACAAAGGTGTCTCATTCTCTATTCAGTCGCTGACCGGAGAAGGGAAGGAGACCATCTCTGTTTGTTCACGACAAAAGGGCTTCGACTAATTCAAAAACTCCCAAGTTTTGTGCTCCTCCATGACCTCCCAACACCCTTTGATCTCCTTTCTTGTACGACCATTCCTGCTAATATCTCTCAGTTCACGTCGCGTTCCTGCTGATGTTGACTCACGAAAGGAAGGAAAAAGGCAATTTATATCCTGCACCAGGGCACGCATTGCATTGTGCGCCCTAATGCAAAACGACGTCATTTCAATTTCAATTTTATTTTTATTTTTTTGAAATTTCGATATCTTGTGTTGGCGGTTAATTTTCTTTAAAAAGAATTTCGTGTTAAAAAATGTACATAATTTTATACTAGAATACACATAATTGTATAGATGAATGGGCATAATTGTATAACAAAATACACATACTTTATTTAAAAAAAATAATACATATAATCTAACATAATACATAATATACATAAACTTTTAACATAATAAACATCAACTCTTAACATAATACACATAAATTTCCTGTTTCGGATGTACATAAATGTATAAAAAAATGTACATGATTGTATAAAAAATGTACATAATTGTATAAACAAATACACATAATTGTATAAAAAAAATACACATAATCACGTCAACTCCCTACATAACTTATCAAAACGACGTCGTTTTGGGAGGCGCTGGACGCACAGTGCTACGCAAGCCGTGGTGCATGGTATAACGATTGAAGGAAAAAGGCAAGGGCTTTTATTCAATGGGCTAACATTAATTACACTCAATATAATGGGCTACCAAATAATAATAATAATAGTAATAATAATAGTAATAACAGCAACAACAACAACAACAACAACGACGACGACAACAACAACAACAACAATAACAAAGTCCAATTATTTAACACAACTAATTAAACATAATAAAGAATGTTCAATTGACTAAAAATTATCATATTAATTATATCAAAGTTTATTGAAAAAATAAAATAAATAATACTCATCAACCCCTCGGGTTACTCCTCGGTATTGAGACTTGACTTCCTCGAGTATATATTTAGATGTTATAAATTAGCCACTCGGTTAAGATTCGAATGTTGAGTAAACTTATCCTAAGTCTAAGAAATAAAAAGATTGGGAGGTCTAAACTCTAAGTTTGGTATCACCAAAATCTAATACAAAGTGTTCATAATAATTTCTCCCTTTTTGATGATGGCAAAACCTATACCCATACTATAAGGCTGAAATTATCCATGAAAATGAATTTTCATTACATACAGCCGAATAGTTGAGTTTAACAATTTTTTTCTAGGAGTAAAATTACTAATAATAAAAACTCAACGCAGCCCCAAAAACACTTTTTTTTTAATCATCTCAAAATATTACAAAATCATAGCAAAACATAAATAGATCTAACTATTACAAGGATAACCTAAGGCCTACTACCTTTGCCTCAGTAGGCCTTTCACTTGCCCTTTTCTTCTTAAATCTTCAAGATCAAGGTTGTGGTTGATTTGATACCTTGTGTTGTGGAGGTTATTTGAGACGATGAGGTGATTAAAACGATTAGCAATTATATGTTGCAAGTAGTTCTGGAACGCTTCAATGACATCAGTTCCTTCAACTACTCTTCGTCTCCACCGCCTTATGAACTCGGCAGTGTTTATTCCATCTGTGAATGATATACTATTATCCTTCATCAGTTCATAAATCGTGGCTCAGATAACCTCATCCGGATCTGAGCTTAGTACCTTCTTCAACGAGTCGATCCTTGCATTGACTCTACTTGCTTCTTTAGCAGCCTCTTCTCGTTGCCTCTTGTTGTCCCTTTCAACTCGTTCAGCCATTAGCTTCTCATTCTCGATCTTCTGAGTCATGGACCACGTGTAGTGTTGCTTCCTTTGCTTATTCTAGTTCTTGATGTTGGGTGGAATGTTGTAGCCTCTAATCCTCTCACCACTTCCATCT